GGCTGCCGCAATGAAAGGTAAATGAAAAAATTTTATTTTCTTAAAAGCTATGGTTGATGGGATACTACCATGATTAAGACTGTGTTATACTTTTCCTTAAATGTGAGATTTGGAGAAACCGTAGAAATTGGAATGCGGACAGTAATATACACAAATCCTCCAAGTGAGGATTTCACCACTTTTTGAAATAGGGCCACGGGTGCCTCACGGTTTCCAACTCGGCAGTCAAAACATGCAAATTGGCTTCTGTGCCTTTAAACTTGAAAAACTTTCTGTACTCCTATCAGCCGAATTTTTTTTTTTTTTTGGTCACAGTTACTTTATTAGATGAGTAAAATCCAATACCTTTTATAATTATTCACCAAGACACAAAATTATGTTTCATAATCTTTTGTGCATATTTTTTAAAAGCAGACCAAAGGGAAAAACAACTTTTTTTCAATCCTGACTGCCTCACTTTGATCAAAAGAATCTCACTCTTTTCATTGTACCATAAAGAACAGGGCAATCCTCATTCTGATGCCTTAGGAAATCAAGTTAAAACATGTCAGGAAGATACTAAGAAAACTGCCCAGTAACTGACAAACAGGTTAGCAACAGCTCAGTCAGGTTCCACATTCAAACTCTCAGGAAAATTCTCACTTCAGGGAGGAAAACAAAAAGCATGCAGGTAGATTTCACCTCTTCTAAATTATAATAAAGACTTTCAATGAAATATGAGCCTCACGTAGACTGGCTTATTCAGTTAAGATTTATCTATGATAGAATTTAATATCATATTCTCAAATTGAATCCTCTTTCTTGGTATTAACATCTTACCAATAGTCTTCTTTCTTCTAGTTTGAGATTCCAACTTACTAGCAAAATGAATGGCACTAAATCTGGCTAATATTACTATATAGTTAGGGTCAGAGAAAGCCAGTTACCCTGTTGCTGCTTCATTTCATTATTTCTGCTCAGGTAAGACTGACTCTGTAAAGTTAGGGATCAAGGAGACACAGTCTCCAAGTCCTTCAGCACAGTCCCATCCATAGACTTGTCTCTAACATCAATTTTTGCAGCATGGGAAAGAAGGATAGAGGAACAGTATACACTCTGAATTCTATATTTAAGAAAAAAATCTAGGAAAAGAAAGTAGTCGAAAATAACTGTTTCATGTAGATGTAAAGAAGCATTTTTTTTTTTTCTCCTGAGATGGTATTATAAGAGGATTGCATTGGGAGGAAGAAGGGAGGCTAAATTAGAAAGAATATTTTTATTTAGGTTGGGCCCATCCGTCCGCCTACTTCTCTTCCTTCCTTGATGGCTTAGCGTTTCATTCTCTTTATGAAATGTTTCATGCTAGCTCTACACTCTGAAAAAACGCTTCAGAAATTTAAAGTAGAAGAGAGCCGAATGGCCACTGGTTCTTAATGTGCTCTAAACTGAGAGAAACTGGGAAAATCCTCAAAGCCCAGTGAAGGGTGGGATGAGGGGAGAACAGAAGCCAGGCAGAGTCTGGGCGAGCTGCCCCTGCAACTCCCAGAGTGGATGCCTTGTGCACAGGCAGGCTTAAGACAGGAGTTCTGACTTGGTGTGCACAACCAGCGACTTCAGCAAAACGACCTGTGTTTGGGGACTGACTGTGCCAGAAGCCATGGCTGTGA